GAAGAAGAACCACCAGTTCTGGAAACCAACAATGAAGCAGCACCAACACCCATGGAAGGAGAAGCAGCGATTCCTGAAACCACCAGTCAAGCACATGAAACCGCACCATCAGCCATGGAAGAAGAACCACGAGTCTCGGAAACCACCAATGAAGCCGCACCAACACCCATGGAAGGAGAACCACCAGTTCTGGAAACCACCAATCAAGCCGAACCTACACCCATGGAAGACTGTGAGAAGGATCAACCCGAGAAACCCGAGCAAGAAGTAGGGAAAGAGGGACCGGCGGAGGAATCCCAGAAAGGAGAGGCAGCGGAAGAGGTATCCCAAAAAGATACAGCAGCAGAATAGGAATCTGAGAAAGATGCAGAAGAAGAGGGAGGGCGCACACCCGAGGAAGAACGAGAGAAAGAAAGAGAAGAGGAAGAAAATTCAGAGGAAGAAAGAGAAGAGGAAGAAAATTCAGAGGAAGATAAAGAAGAGAAAGAAAATTCAGAGGAAGAAAGAGAAGAGGAAGAAGCGCATGACGAAGAGAATGTAGAGGAGTCAGAACAAGATGAATCAAAGAGAGATTTAGAGGTAAGTATATTTTGAATTGAATTCTTGTTATGTGTTTTGTTGGACAACTGGGACAACATGTACAACTTAGCTTTACATAATTAGGTAATATCCGGACAACTAGGACAACTGTATAGAATAGTTACATCTGGATAACTGGGACAACTTGGTTTTAGGTAATTAGGTGCATATGGACAACTGGGACAACTGAGACAACTTGGTTTTACGTAATTAGGTGCATATGGACAACTTGGACAACTGGGACAACTTTGTTTTCGTAATTAGGTAATATTCGGACAACCGGAACAACTGGTATAGAATAGTTATATCTGGACAACTAGGACAACTGGGATAACTTGGTTTTACGTAATTAGGTGCACATGGACAACTGGGACAACTGGGACAACTAAGTCTGATAGGATTGTGTTTCTTGTTTATTTTTCAGGATGCCGATGATGATGGGCAACCGATGCTACCTGAGAAGCTTTACTTCGGTCCAACCGAGTACAGCAAGGGTTGTAGGATATTGACAAGGTGCTCGGTTAGAAGTGTTGTGGACAAGATTGATAAACTTGCTGAGGAGAAAGCATGGTTCAGAGCACATCCCCAATTTAAGCACATTTTTCACATGTTCAAGGAGCCCAACCACATGAATCAAGGATTGTGGATGCTTCTCCTTCCACTGCTCATACTGAAAGGTTTAGTGAGTGTTGGTTTGTTGTTAACGGAGTCCCAATTAGGTATTCTCTGGGAGAGCATGCGCTTTTGAGTGGACTTGACTGTCGTGATTACCCGGCTAACTACAAGGATTTGGGGAACACGAAGTTTGTTGAGAAGCACTTTGGTAGGGTGGATAAAATCAAGATTTTGGAAGTGGAAGCTAAATTAGATTAAATGAAGGAGAGCTCTGTGGACAGGAAGAAAATTGCACTCCTCTTGTTTTTATGCAAGGTAGTGAAGGCGAAATACAAGAGTGATGGTAACATTGATCCTTTCCTTCTCCGAGTTGTCAGCGATTTGAATGTGTGTAAAACGTTCCCTTGGGGGCGTTACACATTTGATGACATGATGAAGGAGATCCGGCGTGTGATGGCAAAGTTTGATGGCAGCATGAAAGACAAAAAAGCAGAATGTCCCCTTTCTACCTCTACAGGTAATTCTCAGTCACCATTTCTTATAAATTAACTTCATATATAATTTAACGATGATCTTTTGTAATTTTTTTGTGTAGATACTTGCTTTTGAGTGTATTCATAGCCTTGGCCGCAAATTCCGAGAAGCTGTACCTGCCCTCCAAGACTGTCCAAGGATGTGCAAGCACAAGTTCACTGATGTTTGCATGAAAGGCATTCCGTTGGATGATATAAATGCAGCAATCAGAACAAGTGCAAAGGTTAGTGTTTGCTGGGTTTGGTTAGGGTACAACTATGATTGACTTGCTGTTAGTGGTTTAAGAACAACTGGTACAACTGAGCAAAAATTAAGAATTATGGATCGTGGGACAATTAGGACAACTAGTACAACTATGTTTTACTGGTATTGGTTAAAGGGCAACTAGGACAACTTGTACAACTATGTTTTACTGGTATTGGTTAAAGGGCAACTAGGACAACTAGTACAACTATATGTAATGTCGTTACTATTGGTTCAATAATTTGTGTTTGTTTATATTGGCAGGACATTCATAGCATCTTGAAGCCTGCAGATTCGGGTGAAGAAAAACTTTTGCGTCGGATATTAGATCATGACTATGATGATGGGATAGGGCTCATTGATGTGGGTGTTGAGAGTAGGATGCATCATCTCACAGTGAAGAAGAAGAAGATCTTCTGGAGATCTTTGTATGAGTTAGACATTCAACATCAGGGTAGATTCACTGCCGAGGCTCCTCAAATACCTGAACCTGAGGTGACATCAATGTTGGAGCTTAAGGCTGCGATGGGTCTGTTAGAGAAAAGGGTGGCGACGCTCGAACAGCTAGTGCTTCCACGCCCATCCTCTCCACCACCCGCCTCTTCACCAGTCTCCTCTCGTCTATCCGCAGTGGCCTCCCCTTCAAGCGCACCTGCACCGGTTTTGTCTCGGCGACCTGCAGTGGCCTCCCCTCCAAGCGCACCTGCACCAGTTTCATCTCCTTGAACCGCAGGAGGAGGCACCCCTCCAACCGCACATCCACCAGAATCCTCCTTTTCATTGTTGGATCGTGTGGCGGTGTTGCATCGTGATGTATGGCGCCAAGAAATAGTGAGGGTGGTTTTATCCAACAACCGGTACAAGATCAAGATTGTTGACACGTTGGCGGAATTAGAGTTCATGTACTGGGATGTTGGGCATCATCCGCACCACAACCATCCACATCATCATCAAAAGGCGCACCACCACTGGAAACATCCTCATCCAAAGGCGGTAGAGCTGGAACTAAGAGGCCCCGGAAGAAATCAAAGTTCAAGCAGTCGCCTTGGGTCTCTGGGGGAAACACCAAGAAAGCGAAGAAGTAGATTGTGTGGTTTATTTCTTTTGTTTCTATGTTTCTTTTGTTTAGGACAACAAGTACAACTATGTTTATTTTGTTTAGGACAAGTGGTACAACTTTGTTTATTTTGTTTAGGACAACTGGTACAACTTAATGTCTTTTGTTTAGGATAAATGGTACAACTATGTTTCTTTTGTTTAGGACAACAAGGTCAACTACTACAAATATATTTATTTTGGTTAGGACAATTTGGATAACTATGTTTCTTTTGTTTAGGACAACAAGGACAACTTAATCTGAATAAGAAACATAACATGAGATTAATTCGAAATAGTTTTGGGATATTACAAAGGAGAACAGAAACATGATGAACAAAGGAAAACATGTGAATAAGATACAACAATCCAACATAGCTCACATAAGAACTCTCAACCACATAAAATCTTCTTCAACCTTTAGTCTTTTCCATAGCTGCCTCAAGGGATGCCACCTTGGACTCCAACTGGTTGAGCTTCGAGTGAACGGTGTCAAACAAAGACCGCATGGCTTCTTGGGTGTCGTTTAACATTTCAATCTCTTCAAGAATGGCAACATCCCACCACTTCTTGAAGCCACAACTGGGAACCTGAGAACCAGAAAATCGGATGAAACTCTATTTAGAAAACAAAGAATTGCTAAATTGACAAGTACTTCAGGGAAGTTTTTTGGGCCACAACAGCCGTAGAAACACCCATAATACTTGCAGCCCCTATCGAGCATAGAGTTGTCGCTTAGACACCCAATTGGAGCTATACCGCAGTAGCAAACTTTTGGAATTCCCTTTTGAACAGGGCATGGCGCCCTGGTCCTGACTCCATTCACTTCTGGTCCCCATCTAGTAGTTATCCCGTAATCCTTCTTGGGTAAGGCAGAATAAGATCCCTCTCCTTTGCCTTCAGACATTTTTGGCGAAGTTTTTTTGTGGGGAAATTTTCGGCCGCAGCGGAAACGCTAATTGGGAAAAAAAATTCCAAGTGAGGGAATGAATGGAAAGAGAAAAACACGACAACAACCCTTTTCAATGAAAGAGAAAACACTAGGACACTAGACTTCTCCCCTCTTATAGCCTGTTTAAAAAGAAAAGAAAAAAATAAATATTTTTATTCTCAGCTGCCATTTTAGTTGTACGGTTGTCCCAAAAATGTAATAATTGTCCTTTTGTCGATTTACTCGTATTTTCAGGACTCCTCCTACCGATATTCATTTTTTCTAGTTGTCCACAGGAATTTCGAACATTCTATAGCAGCTCCAAAGGCCTAGTGTAATTAATTTTCTATTTTCTCTATTTTTGTGTTTAGTCTGTTGTAAGATGGATAACATTGTCAAAGAGTTCTTTATACCATAAGGGTTATTTCATGTGAAACCCAAAAAAAATTTAGTACTTTGAAGAAAACTATGTTCTATAGAGTTTTCCTATTGTAGACGTTCAAGATACAGCAATTAAAAGTATGTGTTGTATTTGTTTTCGGGTCTTCAGTTGTACAAAATTAGGGTTCCCTACTTTCCCCTAGTTGCACCTCGTTGCCCCTTGTTGCCCCAGTTGCACCATGTTGCCCCTAGTTGCACCTCATTGCCCATGTTGCTCCAGTTTCCCTACTTGCACCTTGTTGGCCATAACTGTACATAGTTGCACCTAGTTGCCCCTAGTTGCACCTCGTTGGCCATAACTGTACATAGTTGCACGTAGTTGCCCCTAGTTGCACCTAGTTGGCCATAACTGGCCATAAGTGTACGTAGTTGTACCTAGTTGCACCTAGTTGCCCTAAAATTCATTACATAAATTTAAAAAAGTTCAACATAGTTGCACCTAGTTGTCCTGGATACATTCTAGAAATCCAATAAATCCTAAATACAAATAACCCCAAAATACATAGTAATGCAAGAAATCCAAGACATAAAAAATACAAATAACTCCCAAATACTCGAAAACCTAGCTGGTTCCCTCTTCTTCCATTGGGTTTACTGGTTCAAACCAACGTCCAAGATTAATATTTGGGTTGGCCTTGTTACTCCTCTGAGGTTCTCCGGTGGAAGAAAACCGCTTCTCCTTCTTTCTTCCTGATTTTTTGGTGTAGTCTGGTGGGTAAACAACTAAATTTCCAACCTCCTCAGGAATAATCCAAGTTGAATGATGCGGCACCATATAAATGGTTCGGCAATAAGCCAACGCCCAAGTATCAATCAAGTAGTACCTCGAGCATAAATCGAAAATATGTATGTCTCTTCTTCTAGAGGACATCCACATCATTGCAATGGTTGCGGCTATTGCATGCACACATGGAATCTTATCTATATCAAACATACGACACTCACAGCTTTTTGTTACCAAATTGACCAGATAGCTCTTCCCATCAAGTCCAACCACACTGTACTCAAGCTCAGGAACATTTAGCTCACTCACAGTTTACGGTGTCGCTATTTCACATTGGGTATGCAACTGATTTTCCTTATACTGCACCAATTTCTTCGAATATGATGCACCAGCAATGTCTTCCCTATGCCTGTTGAACCATTCAGACACTTTTTCAATATACGCATCAATCTTAGGCAATAATGCATACTTTCTTGCTTTCTTGAAGACACTGTTCATAGATTCACAGACGTTGCTTGTGTCCAAGTTATACTTGTCTCCTTTAAAGTAGCACCTTGCCCATTTCTCAAGAGGAAGACCATTCTCTAAGTACTCTGCAGCTTTGGGAAACATTCTACCAAATTCGGTATATGCACTTAGAAACTCACTTTCGTTGTACTTGTGAGCAGTCAATGAATTTTTTAGAACACAAATCTTTCCAACCATTGGCTGCTTTAACCCTCACATTACGAGACAAGTGCCAAACACAAAATCCATGCTGAGACTGAGGGTACACCTCCTGCACTGCCTTCGCTATGCTTGTGTGTCTGTCACTCATAAAAACAATCTCAGGATTATCTGGTATAACAGTTATGAGCATTTCTAAAAACCACCTCCAACTAGCATCTTTCTCACCCCATTGCAATGGGATAATGGTGATGATTAGGATCCTGAGCTGTGGCAAATACGAGCATACCACCATAAACATTCTTAAGAAATTTTGCATCCACAACTATGACTTTCCTCATTGATCTAAAGCCTTCAATGCTGGCACCTAAAGCCACAAAAAGATACTTGAACTTATTATTAGCATCCACTTTCACGCTCGTCACTATACCGGGATTCACCAGCTTCAACATGTACAGATAAGAATGCAATCTTTGAAAGCTCTTAGCCGGACTACCCCTCACTTGACTAATAGCGAGTTTTTTCCCTCTCAAGGCAGTAGAGTAGGACACATTCACATGAGCTTCAGTTTGAACGACCTTCACTATACTTCTAGGAGCGGGTTTGTCCACTACACCTGGATACGAAGCACGCAAAACATCTGCTACTACTTGTGGAATGCCTTTTCTTTTATTCTCAAGTGTGCTGGTAAGGACCCGAGAGCAACAATGCATATTCCTGTATACTCTAAGGCTGAAATAAGTTGAACCCTTCATTCTTACAGCATGTAAATACCATGAACAACCATGTTCAGCTTGATGGCATTTTAGAATGAGTCGCCCAGGATCAGACTTCACAGTTTTTACCTCAAAACATCCCTTATGCGAAGCTCTGTCAACCAATATTCGCAACGCCTCTTTCAACCTCAATTCTTGATTTTTCTAAAAACCAGCACCATCATCCCATTCAAGAACAAACTGCTGAGTTGGTTCTTGATAACACCGTATTTTGACTACTTTTATGGATCGTTTTGAAATACTTTTTTCTATGTTTTTAATTGCTTTCAAATACTTTTATTACGTTTTTCTAGTATTTTTAGTTCCAAGACTCTTTTCAAGAAACTTAGGGAAAAGCTTAACAAAATGGATAGAAGACCAGATTTTCAGCTCAGAGTCAAACCGTCAGAAGTTCACCCCCGATTGAAGGCCTTCTCACCGTCTGATCCAGCTCAAATTTGGAGATCTCAAAGATGGAAGTATCAGCTTTCCAGCACACTTTAGATCTTGCAAATCCAACGGTTCAATCAAAAGATACACAAAGAGCAAGATGTCCCGTAAATCAGCCGGCAAGCGTTTCCACCCGCGGCCAACAGGCCATTCCCCGCGGTCACAAGCATCCCGACCGCGGCCAGCCATCCATTCCCCGCGGTCACACACATCCCGACCGCGGACAGCTAACTCCGAGTTTGAAGGCCCATTTCTGAAGCCCGTATCATTTTCCCAGCCTCAATTCCGTGGAACCCTAGACACCAGAGAGTATTGGAGACTATAAATACATATCATTTAGGTTGTTTTTAAGGAGAGAAAAAGAGAGACGAAATACTTTACAGAAATTTTACTTTAAGCTTTGTTTTTAGGTTTTAGGGAGAGAGAGATCTTAACTCATTTGTGAAATATGAATCAATATGCATTAATAAACAATTCTTAATGATCATTCAAGCAAATAACAATACATCATCATGCAGAAAATGTTTAAACCTCTAATACAGCTCTTTCAGGAATTTCATCAAACACTTTTGGTGCATGAAATTCCCAGAATCTAGATCTCAAGTGATATGCAAGGATCTAGCATAGAGAACAGCTGTTTAGAGAGATGAATCAATGAATCTAGCCCTAATCACTCCTAATCTAACACTTTAGCACCCTAACCTACACATCTAGAACCTCATTAAGGTGACTACTCACTAATCATACTAATCTCTCTTAAACCTTTGTAAGTAGAGAAGATTGGCATGATTAATGATGAGAAATGGAGATGGAGATGATAGATTCAAAAGAAAACAGCTTTAAACACCCAGATCTCTTAAAACTCTCTTGATTAAACACTCAAATATAGATATTTCTCTTCTTAATGGAGTCTTTCACAAAAGAGGCAAGAGACAAAGGGAATAAAACTTAGTTCTTTCAGAAAAAACCCTAAAAAGTATTTATACCTCTCTAAAAACGAACCGGGTCAGCCCGGAACAAAGTGGAATTACTGGATAAAGTGGAATTACTGCGGGTTGGTCCAGTGTCTTCCAGGTAGCACGCCCAAGTCGCAGTAGATGAAGAACTTTGCTTGTGAGACTTAAATCGCTTGTCTTAGCCGCATGCCCAAGTAGGAGTGTTTTGCGAGTATTGCTGCGGCTTGATCTTCTTCTTCTTCAACTCGCAGGACCAAGGCGGTTTCTGGGGAATTTGCATATGTGCGGGTTGGTTTCCATTGCACCTAGGTCGCATGCTCAAGTCGGAGTGATTTGCGAGTGATCGTGCGGCTTAGTTCCAGGCGCGGCTAACTCGCATGCCTAAGTCGCACGATTGTGGACTTAGCATTTCTCTTGCTCGGGAGCCTCAGACCTCATCCAGTGATAGCTTACCCGCACTTCTCAACTCGCAGCATCAGCTTTCAGGCATTCGTCTTCAGGCCTGCGGGTTAACCAAGTCGCAAGACCATCTCGCAGCATTCAGAGCAGCTTGGACCAATTCGCATTCCGGAGATTGTAACTTCTGAGGTACTTGTCCGAATTGAGTGATACCGGTTGCAGAAGACAGAAGACTCATTTATCGCCAACTTTGATGAGGAAAGCTTCGGTGCTTGGGAAGTTGAAGGCTTCCTGGAGGGCACACCTTTGCAATGCATTTACACGATCAGAGGGAGGCGTCTAGACATGTGTCCATTCCGGAGACCGTATCTTCCTGCTCATATCTCCGAATTGAATGATCTCGGACTTTCTGGAAAAAGGACTCAAATTTTTCTGATTCTCATGAAGGCCCCGGAAACTGAATGGCGTGGAAGTGCACCGTCCTTCGCATTCTTCGGAGCTCATCGGCTCGGTCCAAAACAGCAGCGAGACAGGGGTTTCTTCCGACGAGCTTAACTCTCTTCTCACGCGTCCGAATTCCATGATTCCACTTGCTATGAAACCGTGATCCAATCCTCTACAACTTCTATGAATCACCCGACATCTGAATCGGACCGGAAGGTTCCCCTGACAGGCGATTTTGAAAAGTGTCTGCACCCGGAGATTTTGGCCGAGAGATCCTTTAGGCGGTACGCGTTTTGGCCGATAAGATCCACCCGCGGTACGTGTTTTGGCCAATAAAATCTTTCCTGGTACGCGAGAATGGCCGAGGAAAACCTTCCTGGTCAGCGAGAATGGCCGAGGACCTCCTTTCAAGTTTTGATCACCATTTCTCTTCATGGATTCACCTCTTCAACTCCAAATAGCTCCAAATGCACCTGATAAACATTCAAAACATGCAAAGACTCCTTGGGACCTAATGCATCTCCTAAGTTCTAAAACAAACCCTAAGGACCTAAAATGCATGAATTAAAACATGATTTGGAATGAAATATGCAACCTAAATGATGCAAATTATGAACATATCAACTCCCCCACACTTGTCCTTTGCTTGTCCTCAAGCAAACAAGAACAAATGAGAGAAAGAGGTTGAATGCATGGGAGTTCACATTTCCTTTTTGAGAGAAGTGATCACAATGAGAATTCAAGTTCATGCTCAATTATGCAATGCAAAGCCATACTCAGATGTATATCAACTCAACAAGGAATCTCCACAAGTTCTTCTCTCTCTCAACTCTTTCACATTCATTAAGCTTTTTACCAAGTGGATCAAATGATGCATTGTTTAAATAAACATAGTTTGGCTAGGGTGAGGTTATGAGACTAAAATGATCTCATCAATGCTTGAGTGGGTTCAATGCAGCAAAAGGATCTCTCTATGAATGACCAAACTTTGGCAGAATGCTAAAGGTAAAAGGCAACCTATGCATACAAGGGCAAAGACTCATCCCACCCCACACTCTACTCAAAGTTTCCTCACTTGCTTACTTTTCACACTCATTCTTTTCTCACTAGGGGACTCTCTTTTCTTTATCATACACAAGTCTTTGGAGTTCAAACTTTCCATAGCTCTTTTTCACTTTCTTTTGTAACCTCTAACCTCTTTTTTCTTTCTTTTTTAAAACAATTGAGCTCTTTGGCTTCTTTTCTTTTCACTTAGAGGCTAGACTCTTTCTTTTCAAAACACTAGAGCTCACCTTCTTTGACTCAAAACTCCAAGACTGATTTCTTTTCTTTTTCTATCCCCTAGTTCTTACCATTCTCCTTTTATTTCCACTCATCTCTCCTTTTTCCACTCACCAACATGTATTCCCCCACACATAGCTCTTGCCAAAACTCTCAGCTCCTTGATGATGGAACTTAGCACTCAATGAGACTTGCCCTTGTCGCCCTAAACCTAACACTTTCTGCTAAGTTTGGTCCAAGGTGGCCTCTCAATCACACACAAACAATTGGCTTGAAAGAAGGATGGGTTCAGGGTGAGGAAAACTGATCTATTATGCAGATTCAGCTATTTGAGCTAAGGAAGAGGATGGTAAAAACAGGATTCTAGCTCAAATATGTATATTGGTATCCACAAGCTTGTTCAAACAAAGCACCACATGATAATTTCAAGTCAAGTTCAGGGTTTTCACTTAATTAGAGTTGAGTTCAATTCAAACTTGCTTCTCAGATTCAGATCATTTCAGACTTTGCAAGCACATAAAAAGATTCACAAGCATATTCAGTTCAAGTTCTCAAAGTGATGTACTCTCTAGAAAACCTATCATTACTCCCTGCAAGATGCAACCTACATGCATATGCAATCTAGACTCAATCCTAAAAATGAGAATGCAACTACATAATCATTTTTTGTGAAAGTTTTTCAGATTTTTCCATTTTTTTGGTTTTTATATGCACTTAGATGAGACTACATGAATATGCAACTAGAATGTGACTCAAGACTCAAAGTGTAAAATAAGAAAAGAGAAAACATGATTAGTGAAGGATGAAACTCCTCCCCCACACTTAAATAACACAGTCCCTTGTGTTATAAAAGTATGAGAAAGGAGTTAAAACAAAGTAAACAAGTAAAATGCAAAAGAAAAAGAAAATCTACATGCTATTTACAAGGTTTTGAGTGTTACCTAGGAGCTGTGGAAGTCAGACCCCAATGAGTAAGAGGGGTTTGAAGTGTGGCCGGATGGTGTCTCCCAAGAATGATGGCTAGCCTCATCAGAGCCGTCGTCAAGATCCACCCAAGTGGTTCCATATGTGACCAGGACTGTGCAGTTCATGGAACTCTCTCCAACTTCCTCTCTGTTCCTTGGTGAAACCGGTGCTGGAGACCCACCTTTGCAAGGGTTTTCAAGCTTCTTGATCCTCTTATTCATCTCCTTGATGCACTTGGCCATCTTGTGGATGGTTTTGTCTTGGTACTTGCACCATTGTTGGAGAATACCAATCTTTTGTTGAGCTCTGAACCCTGAAGTGCCTGGCTCCTCCCAGTTGTAATCATCAAAGTGATATCTGTTTCCACCAAATCGTTTTTGAGGTGGAGGCAGATCAGCATCTTGAGCACCAGCAGCACTTGTGGTAGCATCTTTAGCGGTTGCCTTCTTTCCCTTGGAGGCTTCTTCTCTGCAAGCTTGCTTGTATGTGAGGATTGGTGGATCA